ACAATTGCTTGCCGAGTTTGCAACCGGATATGTACCCGTAAGGCGATCGCCCGTATCGGGTAACAGATGGCGCGTTAACCGATACCCATCACTGGCACAGTCGTAAATACTGAGATATTTTATGCTGCCTGCCAGTGTAGTACGATCGGATGACTCAAAAAGAAACTGCATCTCGTATAAAAAGATTTATCAGCAGCAGAACCGACGCCAGGTAAATTTCTTATTTTAAACTACGTATTGGGATCTAAAATTGAGATCGCAGCTCCATCTGCACTTCATATTGAAACTACTCAAAGACATTATAGTTTTCCTAATATTGACAAATAAAGTGACTTCTTTTTTAATCGCAACAAGTTACGAAAACTTCATTATGTCATCAGTTGCGAAAAGAATACAAATAAAAATTCAGGAGACGCTAAATTGGTGGTTCTCACCTTATCGAGACTGAGGCCCATACGGGTAAACTCATAGCTTACAAAAACGAGAAACGATTTGATTTGGAACGAAAGACCGAAAACCGATGGTAGTATAAAGATATGTGAAAAATTTAGTGAAGAAGTACAGGTATTTTACAAGATTTTAATTGAGGACAGTAAATATTAGACGCACGGATATAAAAAATGCTTACAATTAAGTTAGCTAAGCTAGATACATTATACAGGATTTTAACTCTATAAAATATATTGTTAAGGATAAAGGATATTAGTCCAGGAAATAAATAAAACTATTTGTCTATAGTTCTATACTTCAGAAAACTCTAGACAGTAGATTAGGAGAATTAGAGTCAAATCAAATATTAATTTCCGAAATGACTGAAAAATTTGGCATCTACCTTGATACCGTCAAGGGATGGTACTGAAAATAATACAATTGAATTCTATAACGCTTTATTAGACGAGCCTGGTAAAAAATTATGAACAACTTTCATTTTAAAAACGTGACTTTCAGAAAGTGCAAAAGTTAGATTAAATAAAAATACGTATCAAATTTAGCTTTAATTATAGATTTAAGTTCAAGCCGCACATTTACAAAAAATTATGACATCCTATATATACGGCGAATTGTTAGTCTAATTCGGCTTCGCAGTTAACGTGTTAATAAGCCTGTCCATGTAAGAATATGGGATCCATTTAGCTATGCACATATAAAAATACTTGCCTATTTATACCTCAAAACATTTGATTTCTTTGTCCATTAAGTCTCCAATATTAAAATATTTAGTTCCTTTACCACTTAAGAATACCCATATAAAAAAAAGTTGGGCCCTTTAAACCCCCTCAAGTCTATCCAAGTAAAAATATTTCTCCTCTTTATCCTGTACGCCTGCCAATACAAAAATATTTGCCTCTTTACCCCTTATAGACTCGCCTGTATAAATATATTTTAGAAGTTCTCCCCCTTAAACCTGCCCATATACAAATATTATTTGGACCATTTACCTTTTTAATCCTAAAATCAAATTTAGATAGTTATATTCTGGTGTTTCATTAAAGATGGTACAAAAAGCATCGCTACTTTCCATTCTATTATATTAGTGATACTCAAAGTGTGCTCCGCCAAAGCCTTTGTGGAGGCTCCGCGAAGAAAATAAGTCATAATAAAAAAAGCAGTACTATCGCCACAAAAGGGGGAACCTGGCTTGAAGACATTTTTTTAGAAGTCACTAAGAGGGAGGAGGATATGATTTTGCGTGGAGGAGACTTTCTTTTTTAGAAATGTGTTTGTGGCTCCGTCAAATATTTCACTTTTCAAAAAGGTTCCATCTCCAAAAAAAGTTTGAGTATCACTGATCTAGAGTAACTAAAGGAAAGGTTAACAGATGTCATTAAAATTATTATTTATTTTTATTATTATTTAACCTAATCTTCAATGACTACTTATTAGGCTTAGGCAAGATCTCATGCATTTTCTCGTAAATACCGCCTATGTTTTATTATTGATTTTTATTGATTAAACTACTTTTTTTTAGCTGAAGTAATAAAAATATATAATAATAATTTTTTCACTTGTTTTACAAATCCATATACTTTTATTAAAATTAACATATATATTTTTTAATTACGAACTCTATTAAAAATTGTATTGTCAGTATACGCAAATATCGTCAGTTAGTTCATAAAATAGTTGGCGCTGCTGTTACGCATGAATAAAAATAAACTGACTGAAATATAAATTGTTTTCTGTCATCGATGTTTTTAGTAGAGAAAAAAGAAATTTAAAATTTGCGTTTTCCTAGTGTTGTTTTTGTGTTCATCGTCGTGTTTGAGTGAGTTTTTTTATGTTTTTGTTTTTTTTATAAATTTTTATTTTTTATATTATTATGTATGGCTATGTCTTCTTGTTCATATTTTTCTATCACACCTTCTGTTTGTTTTTTAAAAATGTGTTTTAAGTATCTTGATTTTTCTTTATTTTAGTTTTTGTCTTTTTTGTTGGGTTATTTTATTTATTAGAGACTTGTTATGACAACTAAAGTATCAGTTCTGTCAAATAGGTCAGTGACATTGTTAGGGTTACTACTAAAGTTTCACTCCCCCTTATCTTCACTATTCAGTGAGATATCGGAATAATTTTGTTTGAAGTTTGAGAGACTAGAACAAATACTTTCTTATGATGGATTCAATTGTTCTGTGACGTCATGGCTTACTTCCGGTTTTTCCGTAAATAACAGAAAATCGATTTTTTTTTAATTTTAAAAAGGAAACCCTCTTTTTTAATGTAAATTTAAATTTCTGGGACATTTTTGTATAATAATCGTGTATTGACAATTTTTTGTCAGCTGTCAAAATGGCCGCCATATTGGACAATATTTTTTCTAAATATGCTACTATTTATTCGTTTATGGAAAACATATAGGAATGTACGAACTTTATAAAATCTTTTTAGGCTTCGAAATTCTCATTGAGACCCATTTACCGTATACCAGTGGCGTATCTAAGCATTTTTATTATTAGCAAACCGTTTAATAATTCCATCCGCTTTTATCTTCGTTGTTAATTGAGATATTGGAATAAAAACTTATTTGTTTAAAAGCTTGGGACAAATACTCTCATATACTGAATTCAATTGGTGTGTGACTTCATGGCTTACTTCTGTTTTATCGGAAATAACAGAAAATCCCAATTTATTTTTAAATAGAAAACCCTGTTTTTATTGAAAATTTGAATTTTAGGGATATTTATGGATAAGAATCATGTGTTGAAAATTTTCTGTCAGCTGTCAAAATGACCATCATATTGGAAAATATTTTTTTTTTATATGTTACTGACAGAAAATTTTCAATACACGCTCCTTATACGGAAATGTCCCAGAAATTCAAATTTTTTAATAAGAAAAAGGGTTTTCATTTAAGAATAAATTGAGATTTTCTGTTAATAGTAAGTAATCCATGACGTAACAGAATAATTAAATCCATCATAAGAAAATTCTCTTTTATTTTTTAGTTTCTTTGTTTTCCAACAAATAAACATTCTAAATTTTTTCAAAATTTGGTCCCTCCCTATAGAATTGTGTAACGACGCCCATGAATAATAAGCTAATAAGTAGGTATTTAAATGGTAGGCAACAAAAAGTCTGCATAGTGGGTTGTAATTCAGATTTTTTAAATCTTAACTCAGGAGTACCACAAGGCTCTATTCTTGGCCCTCTATTATTTTCCATTTATATTTCTCAACTATTGTTTAACTTTAATTTATTATAGCTTTCCAGCAGAAATAAGTAAAAATGCTAAATCTAGTCAACTTAGAATTAAATAAATTTATTAAAACAACTGAAGAACATTGTCTGTGGATAAATTCAAATAAATCAAACGTAATATTTGGACCAAAAAATAGCCGAGAAGATATAAATCAGTCAATAAATTTACACATAAATGGTGAATATTTAGCTGTCATAAATGAAGCGAAAAATCTAGGAATATTGATGGATGCGGATTTAAGATTTGAGAATCATACAACGAGCCTATTTTACACTAAAATTTCTTTATTACAATAAACATTTTCTGCTTATCCATATAAAAAAGTCTTTATGCGAATCTCTTATCTTGTCGATTTTTAATTATGCTGATGTTCTATACGGTCAAAATATAACTACAGATTACAAGAGAAAAATTCAAAAAGTACAAAATTCGTGTTTGCGATTCGTATATGGTATCATGTAAACTAAAACAAATTGAATGGTTGAATAGAATGATTCATCACGTATTATGTCTCTTTCATAAAATTATTACCACAAAAAACCATCGTGTCTCCATAGGAAGATTACATATCGCACCCTCATATATAATCTAAATGTTAGATTTATAGGTGAAATTACAGTTTTTCAATTTAGAATTGAAATGTATAGGCGGTCCTTTAAATATCAAATATTTAAATTATACAATTCTTTACCATGTGAACTGAAAAGTTTGAATAAAATAAATTTAGAACTATATCAAAAAACCAGTTGTTCAATTTTCAGACTTAATTTAGAGATCTACATTAAACATCGAACAGACTTTCTTGTGTTCAAGCAATATACAAACATTAAAAAATAATAATTTGGGGTTTAAGGGTTAAGTGGTAGAACATGCTTTGTAAATGATCAAACATTTACAAAGGATGAACTTCGCTCATTATTTCTATATTTTGTTTTGTATTTTTATAGAAATAATATTATTATTATTATTGAGGCAAATCGTTTATAATAATAAGTAGAGTTAGAAAAAAACTCCCCGCATAGCATAAGTTTTAAAAGCAAAGTATAATAATTGAAATTTCCACAGCTCTTGCAACTAAACATTAAAATAAAATTAAAATGCCCGTACGAAAATTCTACACGAATTCCTGAATAAAAAACTAACCGTACGATAAAGAAAATCGAAAAACCGAACAAAGTACAAGTCTAAAAATGTAAACTACTCAATTTTCTATGATGTAACTGAACACGCGGATCATCGTCTCAAAAAAAATCATCATCTGATACGAATTATACCACAACACTCGACTTTATTTATAACTTACCTTGATATCGTCGTTCAAATTTTCCTTCTTCACCTCGATCTTAGTGATGGACACTTCGTGGTTGGTGGTTTTTTCCATGGGAAATACTCGATTTATTATTATTATTTTTTTTTATTAAATTCGAAAAGAAAATTCGACGCGATGTTCCGCCGCGACGACGTGAAAATAGAAGCGCGCCGAACCCGTTCTCTATGGAGCTTTTGCCTTTTCAACAATGAATGGTTAAAATTATTTTCGGACTTGAGGTAGGGGTTATTCGCGCCATAGAGGAGAGTTTGAATCTTTGGACGGCGCGGCGCACGTGCATTAAAGCTGCAAATTTAATATTACCTACAGAGACGGTACCTATCAGTGGCGTAGATTTTAATAGAATGTACAGTACAGTGACAATTTATTCCGCTTTTCATTAATCCATCCTCCACATTCGTGGCGTCCCTCTGTATACAAGTTTTTAAAAAAGAGTAGGTACTTTTCTTTTGTGTCGAATTGAGATTCCCACAAATTATGCTGAAGTCGCTTTCAGACCTAGTGGAATAAAACTATTCGCCCTACGGTACTGTTATGTATGAAAGTGTATTTCCTCTTAAAAAAATTGCCTACTTTTAAACCCTGGAAGTCGCGATTTTTAAGCTATTGCATAGCTTTTATCGCGGGCTTTGAGCGCGGCGACCGAATCAAAAAAAAAAACGAAACAGTCACGAAAAAAAACCAAACACCTCCCACTCCGACCGGCACAGCGGTGCGGCGTTAAACAATATTAACATTTATTCAATAAAATCGAAAAATCGAAAAACCGAAAAATCGAAAAATCGAAAAATCGAAAAATCGAAAAATCGAAAAATCGAAAAATCGAAAAATCAAAAAATCGAAAAATCGAAAAATCGAAAAAACGAAAAATCGAAAAAACGAAAAATCGAAAAATCGAAATATCGAAAAATCAAAAAATCGAAAAATCGAAAAATCGAAATATCAAAAAATCGAAAAATCGTAAAATTGAAAAATAAATTCCGTAATGAAAATAAACCTAACACCCCCCACTCCGACCGGCGCAGCAGTGCGGCGTTGAAAGCTGTGCATCGTCTAACATCGTTTCAGTTCGGCAGACTTCGGCACGGTGTTTGTGTGCATGCGGCTAGACGTATGCGTGTAGACTAGCTGCTAACTGCTCATAACTGATTCTATCTCTTTTAGACACAATTTCGGAAAAATTGAATTTGAAAATGAATAATGATCCACAAGAATCCACAACAAAATATGGGATTGACGCGGTATTTTCTAGATATTTAGAGGATATCAAGTCTCAAACTTATGTTTCTTATTTCAGTTACCACAAACCTATAGTTTCAATGATAAAAATTCCTGAATAACCTACATGTATTGTAAGATAATAAAAATATTTTAAACAATATTGACTTTTTATTTATTTATTAAGAGAAAAACATTTGTTTTCTTATCGGTCACCACGCTCAAAAAGTATAACTTGAATTAATATCAAAGAAAAAACTTGAATTAATATCAAAGAAAAAAAATACTGCATAAATAAAATAAATAAATAATTATATTTGCATAAGTTGATAAAAAAAAAGTTTCGAACTTACTAATTCCATACTTTATTTTATAAAATAATTTATGTGGAAATCATTCAAAATTTAATTTAGAACTACTACCTACTACTAAAAATTATAATTTGAATTTACCGCCATCTATCAATTGCCATTTTAGTTCATGCTCCAAATACAAAGTGGCGCTAATTTGGTATAAAAGTATAACATTGGCGTGCGGTCTCTAGAGGATACGTGCTTTGTGGTGGAATCGGTACTTATTCGTTCTATAACTTAGGAGGACAAATGTGGGCGCCTAAAAGATTCTTAAGCTAAGAATGACAGGTGACTGATAAAAAAATATAAAATTTTTAGTCTGGTTTAAAATATGGAAGGTTTTGATGATGACTTAGAAATGTTAGATTTAATATCAGACCGCTTTCCAAGACAAATTTATGATCGCAGTGAATATTTTGGTGAAATAGACAATCTGACTTTTTTTAAACGATTTCGTTTAACGAAACCTACCATTTTTCGTGTTGTGAAGCAACTTGAGGAACAACTCGAATATATAATTTCTTTATAACTTATTTATATAACTTTATAATAATATTTAAAAGAATTTCTTTCTCTTCATATGTATATAATTCGGAGCCCGCGTGATAAGAATTTTCAAGAAAATAATTTTTGTTTTGGACTAGTCCGACGGACATGTCAGGAAAAGTTGTGACAAGTATTGAAAAGTCTCAATAAAAAATAATCAATCTTGGGCACAGAACAAACAATTAAATGTCTCTCCATCCTCGATATTTTTTTCAAAAACACTGAAAACAATATTTTCATTTGTATTTTAATTTTTTTAGATAAATCATGTGTAAAATTATACATCTAGGCATTACGCACTTAAAGTTTTTAACACTCAAAAATCGTTCAAACACAAATAAAAATTTAATTAAATTACACAAATGGCAGTAGAAAGTTAACCCATAAAATTGACAAGTAATGGCGGATCAATTTCACTTTGCGTTTATAATAGAGGTTGGTAAGACTTTTGGTAGATAGAGAGGGGGTAAACGTCTAACCACGTGGGGCGGCTTGAAAAAATTTCGCAATAATGTTTACCTGCCAGTGTCGTTTCTTAGAATAAATAATTTAAAATGTTTACCGGCGAAACCGGACAATCGCATGTATTTATGGACTATAAATAATTATTAAACGTGTATTATAATATCTAAATCACAATTCAACAAAATTTCAAAAGCTATTTACAATTTTAAACTATTTACTCGAAATTGTTATTAACATCTATAAAATAATTTTGTACGGCAATGTATCGGGTCCACTTCGGTTAGATCCGCCGCAAACTTGTCAATTTATGTGTATAAAGTGGGAGAACTGGAAAAACAATAGGTCTTTTCCTTTGCATCGAAAGTGTAGCACTGAGATACATCGCTTCTGAAAATATCGTTCCATCCATACAATTTGTATAAATGGAGCGATATTTTCAGAAGTGGTGTAGCTCAGTGCTACACTTTCGATGCAAAGGAAAAGACCTATACTATGGGCAAAACTTTCCAACTTCTCCCCATGCTGTACATACATGACGCTTTACACACATGTCGTATCCTCAGATAAATAAATAAATAATAGATACAGCCCTATCATGCAATATTTGTAACCAGCATCTCCTCTCACTATATAGCAGTGGTTACACGACTTGATTGGATATTCGCTATTTTGGTTACACACCTGATTGGTTAGCAAAAAATTGACAGGACTACGTTAGTTAGGTTAGTTATTTTATGGTTATTTTGTGGTTCATTTTGAGTTTATTTCGTACTTTAATTGAAAAAATTTTGTGGTTTAAGTTATTTTAGTGCATTTAATTGCTTAAAAATGCCAGTGAATTGTATTGTGTGCTCGAGAAAGTATCTCAAATTCAGTTTCATAGGTAAGTAAATAAAAACCATTACCGTTGCATCACACTTTTTTGAGGGGTATCATAATTCAAAATAAGGTTTAAACAACAACAATTTATTTTAAAGTTTAAAATACCATTCAACGTCGAATTTCGAATTATTTTATTGTGCCTGTGTTTACTAACTTTGAATTTATTAATAGGCTATCTTTAAATTAAAGTTATATTGTTATGCACACTGTACATTTAAGAAGGCTCTAGTGGCATTTACTTTAGTTATAAAATCTTAGTATTGCTTTATTTTAATGACAAAATATATTGTTAGAACACCATAGTTATTTTAAAGTATACTATGTTGCATTCTGTATTACATGAAATCCTATATACCTACCTATATGAATAAGAAAACACTATTTATACCTATTTAGGTTTTCAAAAGATCCTCAAACTAGATATATGTGGATGAAGAGTGTATTCAGTAGAATTTGTTCAAGACATTTTGAGGATTCTGCCTTTGCTAAGTCTCCAGGAGGAAAAATGTTTTTAATGAAAGGAGTAATGCCCTTATTTTACTCACATCCTGAAGCTGTTCCTCAACTGGAAACTATGTCACATCTGAAACTAAGTGAGTATTTGAACAAAAACTATAAATAATAAAAATGTTTTTTTGTCTTTGTTTAATTAATTTGAATAATCTAAGTATTAGTACGGGAACCAATAAATTTTGTAATTTTTTTAATTACCTATTCATATTTTAATAACACAATAATATATGTAATTATTATGATATGTTTTCTTATTGTCTAAATTAAAAGAGGTTTCATTTATCTCAAGTGAATGTATATTATATTTACTTATTATATAGTTACACGTCACATAATTAATTTAATTTGTAAATTGTGTAGTAGGAAAATGGTTGCCAGTATCGCATCATTCTGGAAATATCTAATTCGTATTCTTGGACACTTGTCTCGATTCTGCTTACGATCCTTTAAGTCTTTCAAAGTCATCCGTTTTTTCCACAGGTACAGTCTGAAGAACATCTAAAGCATCCCCTTGAAAGGCGATGCATTTACTGACTTTTCTCGTTCAAACGTCCACGACGAGATTAAAAAATAATTGGGCAGTATAAGAACCGATAATTGGATCAATCTCTTAAGGGTAAGACACGCTAAGATACTTCTGGGTGAATATAACCAGGAAACATCGGAAGCCTGTGTGAGATCTGTATTCTGTATACCTATTTATAAATGGTAATGTTAGTACCCGTGACGCCATCTATGTTTCAGCTTCATATAATTGTTTCTCCTTATATCACAGTCATCTGTAGTCTGTGACCCCGTAGGATTATAGATCGTACGTAGATGCCGCCACGAGTACGAAATAAGAGTCAGATGCGCATTGTCTTGTTCTTGTATTACAAGTTCGTATTTCATCTTGAGTTTTGTCTTGTATTATAACCATTACTGAATTACTGTGTTTATCAGAATACTAGAGAATAAAAGCTTACAACAAGGTGTTGTTTTATTGAGTAGTGTATAAATAAGGCATACATCACAGCCTGCATCTGCCTGAGCAAGAACAGGCTTCGTATTGTAACAGGGATTATTACCGGGCATTATCGACTTAAAGGAAACCTTAGTAAACTGATAGTAGATGATAGTGAATGCAGATTCTGTGAGGAGGAGGACGAAACCTCCATTCACATTCTAACTGAATGTGTAGTACTCCAGAATCCAAGGGC